TGTCTCAGAGAGAGACAGAGACAGAGACACAGAGAGAGAGGCAAATAGTCAGCTGGGTGTGATGGAGCAGCAATTGTAAGGCTAAGGCAAGAGGATCACCACAAATTCAAGGCCAGCACGGGCTACACGGTGAGCTCAGGGCCAGCCCAAAGTACATCCACACCCTGCGTCAGAATCACCTGCAGAACCTTAACAATCTCACCCCTAGAGATCTTTATTCTTTAGATCTAGGATGCATTACAAATTGATTGACATATAAAATATAGGACAACCAATTAAATTTGAATTTCAGATAAACAATGAATAATTTTTAGAAGTATGCCCCAAATAGGAAATTCATGAAATTCAAATTTAATTTAATTAGGCAGCCTGTAGTTTTGTTTGTCAAATCCGGCAACCCTCACTGAGGTCTCTACTTCTAACAAACTTCTCAGGGGAAGTTTCAGCCAGGTAGTCAAGGGTGATAGTGCATGGTTATCATTCCAGCACTCTGGGAGGCTGAGGCAGAAGGATTGCAAATTGGAGCCCAGTCCAGGTAATTCAGTGACTTAGCAGGACCCCTGTCTCAAAATTAAAAAAAAAAAAAATTAAAGACTTCAGTTGATCGTTATATATATCTTAAATGTACCAATAAAATCTAATTCTAAAATTCATAGATGCAGCCCAGTGCAAAGGTCCTGAGTTCAACCCTCAGTACAGGAAAAAAACCACCAGCCTCGATCTAAATCCTCTATCATCCTTCAAATTTTTGAAGATAGGAATTCTGACTACCTGTGTATTCTTATCATCTCCCCTTCCAGGAATGGCATTTTTGCTGATGGAGCTGAAGATAACATGCTTTTCTGGCAGCCACATCATGATATTGACTCAAATTGAGGCTGTGATTATTGAAAATCCCTAAATCTTTCCTAAATATACGACATCTAGACAATGTCTACTCCATCCCAATCTTCGAAGGTTCTTTGGGACCCAGCTCCAGGGCGCGCCATTTCTCACTGTCCATGTCCACCCTTTTAGATTCTTTCCGTTTTTGCCATCTGTTGAATCCTTTTAGATCCTGGCTGTAAACTGATGAGCTCCCCCAGACCGTGTCCTCAGCATATCTGATCCTAGGCTGTTCCTGTCTCAACCACTGGGCCAGATGCAGGCAGGAACAGAGCCTCCGGGTCCTCCCCTAAGTACCCGCATCAAATTCAACACGGACCCATGAAATGGGCCCCTCTATCAACCAATTACAGTAATAAAAGATTCAGGTTGAGGGGCTGGGGGATAGCCCAGGGGTAGAGCTCTTGCCTTGCATGTACAGGGCCCTGGGTTCAGTCCCCAGCACCACCAAAAAAAAATTCAGGTTGAGTATCCCTTATCCAAAAGTTCCGAAGTGTCTCAGATTTCAAAAGTATTCGAATTTGGGGATCTTTACATATATATAATGCTGGGCATGGTGGCTCATGCGTGTGATCCCCAGCACTCTGGAAGTGCTGAGGCAGGAGGATCACATATTTGAGCCCAGGCAACTTAATGACTTAGCTAGACTCTGTCTCAAAAAGAAGAAAGAAAGGGAAAAAAAGTGGCTGAGGATGTTGCTCAAAGCAAAGGCTTCAATCCCCAGTACAGAGAGGTGTCTTGGGGAGGGGACCTCAAGTGTAAGCATGAAATTCAGTTATGTTTCATACACACCTTACATGCATAGCCTGTAAGTAATTTGAAGCTATTTTAATGCCCTCGTGCTTTGCCTGAGACCCATCTCATGAGGTCAAGCATAGACTTTGCCACAGTGGAGTTGAGTCAGGACTCAGAAAGCTTCACATTTTGGAGCATTTGGGGTTTAGGACTTGGAGTTTATGGATTCTCTGTATCTGTATCTCTCAGCTCAGGGTCCTCTCCTCCTTGTGAAGTCTCACCATGATGCCTCACAGAGACACCCTGTGCCTGCAGGGACCCCTAGCCAGTTGTCACTGCCCTGGGAGGCGTGGACTGGGCATGCAGTGTCCACTCTTAGGACCGAGGGAGCTTCCGCTCACTGTGCCTCAGAGTCCAGCCTGGCACCTCGGTACACTGGACACTGTCCTAGTTCAGATCCAGCCTGCACCTGCTGCTTACCTCACACCACCCTCCCTGGCCCTCTAGATTAGCAGAGATCACCCTCAGCAGCCTGCAATATCACCTGGCCTCTCCTCCAGCTGAGAATAATAGACTTGCGCAGGGTTTGGAAATTCGAGTGCATTCGAGTGCAGAATCCACCCCCCCCACCCCACCCCCGCTTTCTTGCATTCTGGGAGCTCAGGCCAAGTCATAGGTGGGGTCAGAGGGAAGATGTGGAGAAAAGCTTCAAGGACTGGGGCCTCAGCACCCGCTCCACACTCGCTCAGAGTACAAGTGCTGGGGTCAGCTTGCAGGGGCTGGAATAAGCCATGGCTGAGCCCTTCCTCTTCAAGCACTCACAGTCAGGAACCAGAGTCCAAAGCACATAAACTGAACCGAGGGAGCTAAATGTCATATCAGAGATGCGGGCCGAAGTTGTGAGAAGCCCAGCATGATGGCACTGCTAAGGTACTCTGGGGGGCTGAGGCAGGAGGATTTCAAGTTCAAGCCCGGTCTGGGCAGCGTGGAGATTCAGCGAGACCCTAATTCAAAATAAGAAAAATGGCAGGGGACAATCTCAAGTACTAAAGGAGGAAAAAAAAAAAAGCTATAGGGACACCAAGAGAAAGAATCAAACTCCCTGGAGGAGGGAAGACTTCCCAGAGGAGGTAACATCTGGGCTGAGCCCTGAAGGATTCTGAAGCTCCTCTGCGGAGAAGAGGAGGAAGAAAGAAATGCAGCCGAGGGGACCCACGTCAGGAAAGATGACAGGGTGGGCGCTACGAGGAGCTGTAGGTTGGCTCAGGATGGGGCAGAACAAGGGGAGAAGTCAGGCCTGGCATGCCTGGGGCCCTGGTTCCATCTCCAGCTCTGGGGAGAAAAGGGGGAGGGAGTGAAGTTTCGAGGTGGCAGAAGGCAGACAGCAAAGAGGCCCTGGGGCCCACGGACTTGGCCCCGGCCCGTGTTCCTCCATTCGCCTCCCTTTGTGATTCTCTGACTGGTTCGGTTCCTGTGTGCTGATCTCCACGTGTGTTGGGCGCTTGGCTGCCACTAGAGTTAAGATCTAAACTCTCCTCTGCCCAGGGGAGCCAGACTGCGAACCTGCAGTGCTGGGAGAAGTGGCAAGAGCTTGTGACAGGGTGAGGGTGAGGGGCCTTCTGCAAGGTGACAGTGCCTTCAAGGGGTGACTCTGAGGACAGCTGGAGCCTGGTGAAGAGGTCCGAGGAGAAGCAGCTGCAAGAGGCACTGTGGGCTGGGCCGAGAGAGTGAAGGACTGAAGTGGCAGGGAGGAGGATGGCCCCCCCGGAGGCTGGGCCATGTGGCAGCGGTAAGCCAAGGTGACAGAAGGTCACTGGAGCTGACTCAGGACACCACAGAGTCTGGTGTGCTCTTGGGCCGATCTGCCAGGCTACTGATAAGGATGGCGGTCTGAGGACAGCGAGCCCAGGCAGGACACTGAGGCAGCAGACAGAGGCGATGATCCTAAACTGCGAGCCTGGCCTGGCTCAGGGGACCACCAGATGGAGGGGTGGCTAACAGCTAGGAAGTAGGGTGCAGGGACAGAGTGAGCCACTGGTGAGGCTTGGGGTAAAGAGAGTAGATTACAGGAACAGCTCTGGTGCCTTGCCCCCAGAAGCCCCCTCTCCTGAGGAGTCTGGATGATGCTCCCAAACACTGGCAGGGATCAGAGAAAGGCAGTGACATTCTCAGGGTCACACAGCAAGGAGCTGAAGAGCTTGGCCTAGAACTCAGGAGCCTGGAACTTGGAGGGAGGAGCTGAGAGGAGCTTATGTTTTCATGACGCAGTCACCCTATCCCTCAATGCCCTCCTCTCTGCCATCCAGTTCCTGTGGCTCTGATCCCACCCTACCCCATCGCTCTGAGGCCAGGAGGGGAGGTGCCCTGGGGGATGCTGGGGCAGTGTTGCCAGGAAGACCCCATGTGGCAGGCCCAATCTCTTCTCTTTCTACTTCCTTTCTCCCCTTTCCTCCCTCCCATCCCACTCCCTGGGAATGAGGCCTCCCTGTTGCTTAGCAACTAGCAGAGACTTGGAGAAGGGAAAAGAAATAAATAGCTCAGGAGGTGCCTCCCCTCTGCTAAGACAGAGGCCTTTGGTGTGGATGCGTGTGTGTGTGTGTGTGTGTGTGTGTGTGTGTGTGTGTGTGTGTGAGTGTACAGGTGCCTGCTCTACACAGAGCCAGGGCTTCTTAGCTCCACCCCATCCCAAACTTACAGGAACATGTGGCTGCCTGGAAAGTTAATGCAGTGTGTCACCCTTGATCACATCATTAGAAGCAGTGTTTCTAAAACAAAGTAGGGGACAGTTCTCCAGGCCTCAATCTGGATGAGACCCTAAGCTGGAAGGCTACCTTTGGAGAAGTTGGATCAAAATGAAAACTGAGGGGGCTGGGGATTTAGCTCAGCGGCATAAGCACCTGCCTTGTAAGCAGGCAGTAGTGAGTTCGATCCCTGGTACCGGTAAAAATGAAAAAGACCAAAAAAAAAAAAAAAAAAAGAAAGAAAAAAAAGAAAACTGAAAACGGCATCCAGGAGGAAGGGAGTGGCATTTGGAGATAGCCCCAACTTCCTGTCTCCAGGGCTGGCCTGAGTGCAGACTGGACTGGAACAGAACCAGGACAATGGACCTGGGCAGGGGTACTTGAAGGAAAAGCATGTAAATAAAATCAGCAAAGATTCAGGCAGGCCTGGGTTGGCTGAGGAGTCCAGGATCCAGCAGCATCCTAGGCTGAGATGGACCCGAGGTTCAGACCTGTCACCTGCGCCCCCTGCAGACCGGGAGGATGCGGATTAGGGCCAGGAGGGGCCCTGGAGCTCCAGGATTAGCTCGCGCGGGGAAAGGAGTTTAGCGGATGACCAGGAAGTGACCCTCCCGCCTCTGCTCTGTGTCTGTCCCGCAGGGCCGGCGGCTCCGGCCAGCTGCCATGTCCTCCACCGTGAACAACGGGGCGGCCGGCGTGCCGTCCCCGCCCGACGCCGCCAACGGCTTCCCGCAGCCCGGCGCCTCGTCCGGGGCATGGCCGCGGCCGGAGGAGGAGCTGCGCGCCGCGGAGCCGGGCCTGGTGAAGCGCGCACACCGCGAGATCCTAGACCACGAGCGCAAGCGGCGCGTGGAGCTCAAGTGCATGGAGCTGCAGGAGATGATGGAGGAGCAGGGGTGAGCGAGGGGGCGTGGCGCGGGGAACCGGTGTGGGCGTGGTCTGGCCGTCTGGGCGTGGCTTGAGCGGAAATAGCTGACAGAGGAGACCCAGGAGCCTGGTCCAGGCAAGGGCTGGGTTCTGGACCAGCTGGGCAGAATCACTGAAAGCCCAGCCTACTTTTGATTCATTCGTAGTTTATTCAACCTTTATTTGCAAGCGGTCTTTGAACGCCTGCTCTCTGTCAAACTCCCAGGCTCTGATTTTCAGAAGCTAAGGAAACATAGTCCTTGCCCTTCAGAAAACATCCAGCTTCATGGGGAGAAGAAGCATGAAAACACGAATAACAACTTAAGGTCTCAGTGTCCCCATCTATAAAATGGGTGAATGGAGCTGACATGCCAATACTACAATGCTGCAAGAAGCCACGAGGGCCCTCACTATACACCACTGCTGACTGTAACCAAAGGAGTCACCTGCTGGACTCAGCCCAGCCAGAGTGACTTCCTGTCCTCAAAGACCCCCTCACACACACACCAGCTCAGACCTGTGAAAGCATGTCAACATTTGCCACAAAACAGGTTAGAGTATGACTGAGGAACAAGATAGGTGAGCACTTCAGGAGCTCAGAGGAGAGATCCTGAGATGGGAGGGAAGAGAGAACACTTGTGTAGGCTCCGAGGATGAGTAGGAGTTCGTTCCAATGGTGAGCCATGGCCTGGGGCATCTCCAGTTACTCAGTACATGCATCAGGCAGTAAAGGTTTAGAGTCTGCTACCACATCCCCTCACTCGCTCCTGGAGCTGGGGACAGAGAAACAGAGAACACAGCCATCCCCATTTGTGCCACTCCAGGGAAGCTGGGGTCCCAGGACTCCCTTTGCACCTGTCCCAAGGGTCCCAGAGTGAACCAGGTGCCGTGGGGATCAAAGCGGAGCTTAGGGCCTACCTGGTAGCAGCCTTTGCCTGGGGTGGGGTTTGGAACCCCATAGGGCCCAGGCAGCCTGAGCCCAGCAGTATCTTTTCAATCACCCCTGTGCTGTCCCCAGGCCTGCTGGGCTCCCCAAGACATGGGCCAGAATCTCTGTGGAACTCAGGAAGAAGAAAGATTCAGAGGCCTCTTGCTGAAGGTCAAAAGGAAAGTGGGCCCAGAGCTGAGCCTGGATCTAGCATCCAAGCCAGCCCCAGGCAGGGCCACCTATAGGGACAAGAAAGAAGCCAGGGACCAGGTAGAGGCCATGAAGCTCCCTGCAGAGAGGCATGGCTGTGTGAGGGTGCTGAGGCTGAACAGAAAGAAGGCCTCCAGCCAGCAGTGAAGGCATTTGATAAGCTGTGGGCTTCAGAGGAGGCAATAAGGTCCCAGGGGCAGAGCTGGCGGGGGACAGAGAGAACCCCAAGATCTTCATGGAACCTGCCAACCCTGCTGAATTAGGGGTTCCCTAGAGGGAAGGGAGAGTGGTAGGTGCATGTGAGCTGGAAACAATAGACAGAAATGGGTGAGGACCAGCCTCTGCCCTTTCACTGCACCCCAGGAGCCCCTACTCTCTGAGCCAGAGCAGGAAGCTGCGGTGTAGGATCGCCTCCCTGGTGTTAGATCCCCAGCAGCAAGGACCCTGCCTCTCTGGGAAGCACCTACTGGACCTCCCCATGTTCTTTCCTTCTCCAGACAATCCTTAGATGGGAGTCTCCCTGAAAGCTAGTGATGGGGTTACCCCACACACACCTTCCCCATCCCTCAACAACCATCTGGTCAGTGGGGTGCAGCCTCCCTTCAATATGTGATCCAAGCTCACAGCTACAACTTGACCTTGGTCAGACCACAGTGTCCTCACCTGCAGGACTGGGACACCTGCCTTCCAGGGTGGTTCTCAAGGTCCAAGTCTCAGTCAGGCCAGTCCCCACAGAGCTCTCCATAAACACCAGGGACCCTTGCTCGTTTATAAACTCTAGTCATTAATATCATTTCTAGAAACATTGGTTAGTTCACATTTATTTACCAGGTTCCCAGGCATTTGACAAATATTCCTACCAGTCATAGAAACACACACTCTTCAGTCCCATTAAAAGGCAACCCTTGGGCTGGCAATTTAGCTCAGTGGCATAGTCATCTGCCTGGCAAGCGCAAGGTTGCCAGTTCGATCCCCAGTACCAAAAAAAAAAGCAATCCTTGTCCTTAATATTGATGGAAAACCAACTAATGCATTGGTGATTGAAGCTGCACTTGAAGTCACCTTCCCAGGCAGAATCTGCATGCAGGCGACCATCAGCTATGGGGCTGGGGGACGAGACAGCCCTGCCCCTAACCAGGCTTGGAGCCTGAAGCCCTCTCCTCTCCCTGTTGCTCCTTGGGAGTAAGCCTGCTGTCTCTCTCAGACAGAGGCAGTGAACTATGGCACGCGTGCCACAAAGGGCCATTGCATCATCGAAAGCTCTGAAAAGTTCGCCATTATTGCCCTAGGAGACTGTAGAAAGCACTTGGGTCTAGGCCCCTTCTTGGTCCCTTCCAGGGACCTTTCAAAATGCCATGCTCCCTCTGCCCCACCCCACAGAGGGAACCAAATCCCACCAGGAAACATTACTTTTTCCAGTCCTTTCCTTCCTGGGGGATAGGGGTTGAGTAGATGGGGAACACTGGAGCCAGGAGTCTGGGTACTGAGACAGATCGAGTGACCTTCCCTGTTCCTCCCCGACCCCAGTGCCTGGCACACTCTTGACTTTGAGCCTGAGGCTTTGGAGGGGAGGGATTGAACCTCGGGCCTATCCCCTGAGCTACATCTCCCAACCCTTTTTATTTTTTTCTTTTGAAAGTCCCCCTCAGTCACACTAAGCCCAGCCTGGGCAGCTTGGCAAGTTAGCAAGAACTCATCTCAAAAAGTAATAATAACTATTAAAAAGAGCTGGAGATGTAGCTTAGGGCAAAGGACCTGGGTTCAATCCTCAATACCACAAAGAAAAGAAGGACAGAAAGAATGGAGAAAGGGAAGAAAGGAGGGAGAGAAGGATGAAAGAAAGAAAAAAGAAAAAGGAGAGAAAATAAAAGAGGTACCCAGGAGCAGAGGCCTCTTGGTCATCCCCACCCCCACCGTCAGCAGACAGGCACCCGAGCAAGGCAGCTACCCTGAGACCCCCTGACTGGGACCACCCTTGCCCACTGCATTGGCTACTCCAGTTATTTTCTTTCCTCAATACTAGGGATTGAACCCAGGGCCTCCCAAACTGAGCTACATCCTCAGGCCATTTTTAATTTTGAGAGAGGTTCTAGCTAAATTTCCCAGGCTAGGCTCAAGGTTATGAACTTGGGCTTTGTTCCCACCCCACCCCCACCCGATGGACACCTAGCTTGACCTGGACTCTGGCCTGAGGCCCCTCCCAAGCTGCTGGGTGCCGGCCCAGTCTTGCTCTCCGCTGTGTCTATCCAAGCCCCTCTGGAGTCAGGGCCCATCCAGGTGACCCAGTGACTGGTCACCCTCACAGGGTTCTACCCTCACAGGGCTCTATGAGCCAGGGCTGAGGGCTGTTAAAAGGCCTGTGCTGTGTTTGTTGCTGTGCAGGTGACAGTGACAAGCTTGTGTTCCCTGGAGAAGGTGACATGGGAGAGTTGCTCTGTGCCTCTTCCACTAGGCTTGCTGGGCATGAGCCAGGCCAGCAGGCTGAGGGCTCTGCACTGCCCAAAAGGCAACCAGGCCAGCGGCAGCCAAGGGAAGGCCCAAGACAGCTAAACAGGGGCTGAGTTGTCCACGATGAGCCAGGGCCCGGAGCTTGGTGACACTGGCAGCACAGGAGGCTGAGCCTGCAAAAAATCAGGAATGAGGGCCACCAGGCTGATAAGTAACTAGGGCTCCCATCCAAACCCCCACATAGCCAAGTGGTCCCCACACCTCGGCTCTGTCCATTTCTTCTCCTCTGTTCTCAGGGCCACCCTCAGGCTCTGATTCACCATCTCCTACCTCAACCCCACCAGAGCTCAGCGCAGGCTTCCTGTTCCCTGGTCCCTCTCTCCAGCCGCACCCCAACCAGAGCCATCTTTCCACAATGAAAATCCAACCCTCATACTCTCCAGTGCCTTTCCATCACTGGCCAGTCATCTGTCAAAAATTCTCTGGATGCCACAGTGTGGATGCCAGCCACGGAGAAGTACCACAGTGAACCCAACAGAAGGCTCCTGCCCTCAGGGAACTCTGGGAAAGTGCAGGATACAGAGGAGTCAACAGATAATTGCTAGAGCATGAACCACCTGCCTGGATCCAGGAGGTACAGGTTGCTATGGAAACACAAATGCTGGTACCAGACCCGGCCAGAGGTATCCATCTTGCCGTCAACATCAATAAATTGAGGCTTTGTGTTTTCACTGTAATTATTTCCACAGGACAAATCTGGAAGTTAGTTTATGAGCCAAAGGATGTGCTTTTTAATTAAGGCTTTTGAAAAGAATTACTGCCGGGTACAGAGGCACATGCCTGTAATCCAAGCACTCGAGAGGCTGAGACAGGAGGATTGCTGGGAGTTTGAGACTAGCCTGATCTACATAGCAATACTCTATCTCAAAAACAAAACAAAACAAAAGCTGAATTTCTCTCCTGTAAATGTTCACTGAAGCAATAGAGGAAGAGAAAGAGAAAAAGGGAAAACAGAGATGAGATTCTCTCGCTCCTCCAAAACAATGACATCCCATTTTCATGGATAGTCTCAGGGGTAAGGGCTGGACGCACCGTGGAAGCCGAGCAATGGCAGAGACAAGATAGGACACCCCCACTGCCCCTACTCTGGCATCACTTCTTCTGTCCAGAACAGTGACCTGAAGTGGGGGGTCATTTAGCAACAGCTGCCAGACACCTGTGTGTTTCAGGCACTCCGAAGACTGTGTGCAAAGGCCCTGAGGGGCGGGAAAGAGAATATGGCACTGTAGGGGCTGGGAAAGCTGGAAAGTAACTGTCACAGTGCCACAGTGAGAAAGGATAATGACTGACTCCCCAGCATGGTGGCGGGGATGGGAGTAGACAGTTCCGAGCTCTTTCCCTGAGACTCCCTCAGCACAGGGAGTGAGGAACACAGCAGCGAAGCTGAAAGCTCATGTCGGAGGTCCAGACTTCACCCACCCACTCCCCAGGCCCCTTGGCAGCACTGAGCTTGCCAAGGTGCTGACACTCTGAGGACCCCTCAAGGCAGTCTCGAAGATCAGACATCAGTGAGGCAGAAAGCAGAAAAGACCACGCTTGCATCAAAGCCAGGATTGTCACTTCTCCCGAAAAATATCTCAAGACACCTGGGGCTGGCCTGGTTGACCCAGGTCTGTAATTCTAGCACTCGGGGAGACTGAAGCAGCGGGAGCACAAGCTGCCTCGCCTGTGCAATTTAGCAATTTAGAAAGGGCTTGTCTCAAAGTAAAGTAAAAAGGGGTTTGGGGATGCAGCTCAGTGCAAAGGTCCCGAGTTTGATCCCTAGTACTGGAGAGAACGGAGAGGGAGGAGAACCTGTCTGGGGTTAACACTAGGAAGGAAGAGGGACTCAGCCACATCTAGATTATCTCTTCTCAACTCCTGGGCTCAGAGAGATCATCTTGCATCAGCCTCCCAAATAGTTGGAACTACAAGTGCTGAAGCCTAGGACCCACTCGGCATAACTCTTCCTTTTGTTTGTCTGGTTGTTGGGGTGGGGGTCAGTTGTTTGACCTGCCTGCTGTGAAATGGACAGCCCTTGAACTTCCTCAGTGCTGGGGCTGGCTGGATTCTTGGCCTCAGTTACAGCAATCCAGAGTCTGTGCTTATGACCCAGAGATGGGGTCTGGACTGGGCTGAGCCCAGCTTGTTCAGGTGAGGTAGGAGAGATCTGAGCCCAGGAGAGCGCCCTTCTCACCCGCTGTGCCCCACAGGTACTCGGAGGAGGAGATTCAGCAGAAGGTCGGGACCTTCCGGCAGATGCTGATGGAGAAGGAGGGAGTGCTCACCAGGGAGGACCGGCCTGGGGCCCATGTGTGAGTGTCACCGGGTGTGCAGCGGGGGGGGGGGGGGGGGGGGGGGGCTGCCCAGGAGCATTATCAGGTGGCTGGGGCTGAGGAGGAAGAGGAGGGGGAGAGGAAAGCATGGGCTGGAACTGGCATGGCAGGAAGAGCACAAAACAGGGGCATCTGGGCATCACTGAGCCAGCTGACGTCCACACCTGGTCCCTTCTATGGCTTAGAGATGGATGGGGAAGTACCCAGATCTCAGCTCAGGGATGCAAATCAGGAAACTTCAGAACTGCTCTAAGGTCCACATTGTCACTCGCTGGCTGTATTACCCCCAGACAAGGCCCTCTGGGCCGCAGCTATTCCCGCCTATACAATGGGCTCCCAAGGCATGGCAGGCAGAAATACACAGACCTTTATCATTGCTGTCACAGCCAAAGGCTTGGCAGGTAAAGAAGATGTGGGCCCTGTGAGGACACATCTCTGCCACCTGTCACAGGACCACGGCGGCAATGAGCTGTGGGTCTCCAGGAGTGCTTTGGTCACACAGGGAAGTTACGGAGAGGTTGATTTTGCCTCAGATCAGACAAGAGCTATGCGCCACTCAGAACCAAGCAGCAAACAGAGCCGAGTGTATCAGGAGGGGGATGCGGGCTGTGTCTGCAGGGCTGGCCCAGCCCCATCGCGGCAAGCTGCCTCCAGAGTGCTGCTCGATTCACTCACCAGGCCTTCCCCTTGTTCAGCCTCAGTTTCCCCCAGCATCCACATCCCATGTTTCTCTGGCTGGATATAAAACTGATTCTGGGTGAGAGGTCAGGGTAGAGGCTCCTGGCCTTTTCCTCGGCAGTGGGGCTAGTTTGGGGAGCAGGCATCTTGCTGGGACCTCAAACCCTTGTCCACCTTTATCCCACAAAAACAAGCCAATGAAAAACCATGCATGGTGGTACAGACCTATGATCCTAGAACCCAGGAGGCTGAGGCAGGAAGATTTCTGTGAGTTCCAGGCCAGCCTGGGCTACATAGTGAATTCAAATCCAGTCTGAACTACATGGAGAGACCCTGTCTCAGAAAAATAAATAAATAACCTTCCAAGTGAGTGTCCTTTCGCGGTCACCTTAAAAGCCAGCAGCATATAGAAAGAGACAAACCTCCATGGGGAAAAGGGAAGCCCCCTCTGTAGCCCTTCTGCAGTCCTGAGGTGTCAGGAGTGAGGATTATCCAAGCACCCCTAATAAATCTCATCTCTCTGGCCAGAGTAGGAGCAAATCCGAAATAGCCTCGGGCTTGGTGGGGACCGCATGAGTGACCTCAGGGAGCCAGGCTCAACCTGTCAAGTCTTTCCTTTGGACCTAAAGTGGGATCCAGGGCTGGCTACTGTCACGCCTCGTCAGCCTTCCAGCACCCCTCAACAGCTCCTGCACTAACCCTACTCTTTGTGGGCCTGCCCCTCTCCCTTCTCATCCTGCTGACCACCAGACTCCCCCACTTACCCTGCTTCCCAAATCACCCTCAGACCAGGGAAGCTCTGGCTTTCTGCTCGCTCAAACAGCCCCAAAGCTTCCCTGGAAAATCACCCCCTTTTACTCCCCAAGCCACGGTGAGAACACAGACCTCCTGGATTCTACCTTTTCCATCTTCTGGGGTCTGCAATGACAGGAATCTCTCTAGCTTCAGCCCACATTTCTTCCTTCTCCTGTTTCCTCTCCTTAAAAAAAAAGCTTCTCTCTGTCTCCTTCAGCTCTGACTCCTCCTCCAGCTACCATGCCATGTTTCCTGCCATTTCTACAGAGGGTATGTGGCACTCGCTGCCTCTGCTCCAAGTCTTTCTAAGTCTTTTTTTCTTTTTTGCGGGGGGGGGGGGCGGCTCTGGGAATTGAACTCAGAACCTTGTGCTTGTCAGGCCCTTCCTAGCCTCCATTTCTGCAAGCCATGGAGATCTGGCTTCTCCTCCACAGCTCTGAGAACGCTCAGGCCACGCCTCCCGATCCCTGTATGCCACACGTGCAGCTCTCTGCAGGCCCCGGCCTCTCTCCGGCATATGCACCCCTTGTCTTTTCACCCTGGAAGCCCACTTTCCTCCTACATCACAACATGCAGTCCTTTCTACTGCTTTTCCTGAAGTCCCACATGTCCCCAGGTCTCTGCCCCGGGCTTGCTTTTCCTCTACTCCCTGGGGGGATCACATGCATTCCCAGCTGGAATGCTCCCTTGTTAGCACAAGACTCCAAGTCTTTTCCAAGTCTTGATTTCCTTTTTACCTGAATGAATGGACAAATGAATGAAAGATCTAAGAGCTGAAACACACTGGGAAATATTCCACAGGCAGAGGACAGAAAGGAGTGGCTCCTGCTCTCCAGATGGAAGCACAGCCCTGCAACCTGCAACCAGGACTCACAAGAAGCAGCAGCACAGTTACTGGGGTGGTGGAGTCTTCAGGTCCCCACAGTTCCAGGGAGGAACTGATGGGCAGACCACGGTCACTCATGCAGGGCTCCTTGGATGAGGCTGTGACTGGAAGACTCAACAGTCAGGGAAATCTGACAGTGGGGGAAATTTGATAAGATGTTTTGGAGGCCTAGCAGGGTCCTGGATCTAACTAGAATGTAGCTGCACAAGAATCTTCATCATGTTTGTTTACCTGGATCATTGGATCCTAGGTAGTATGATTTGCCCTGTTTTCCCCAAGGCCTCAGTTCCTCTATTTTTATGCAGTAAGAGAGTTGAATCAGAAGACTTCTTTTAGTTTAGGTAACTTAATATGGTACAAAAATAGTACTCCAAGCATCTGGCCATGGTGACACGCGATCCCAGAAACCTGGGAGGTTGAGCCAGGATTGCAAGTTCAAACCCAACCTGGGCAATTTAGCAGTTTAGCAAGACCCTGTCTCAAAATAAAAATAAAAAAGAGCTGAGATATAACTTAGTGTGAAGTCCTGGCTTCAAACCCCAGTATCCCCACCACACCACACCCCAAAACAAGGAGAGAGAGAGAGAGAGAGAGAGAGAGAGAGAGAGAGAGAGAGAACCCATACTGCAAGCAAGGTCTGCCACAGACTGAAGAGCTCCCCGGCCATTGCCAAGGTGCAAGGACCAGGGATCTGTCTGAAGTGCTGAAGTCAAGGATGGAGGGACAGCTGCAACAGGGAGCTGGAAGGAGAGGTGGAGGAGTGTTAGCGACACTTCTGATGTGGACCTTCCATCTAACTGGGTTTCCCGCCTCTTAGCCCACTTCTTAGCTGTGCGGGGTGAGAAGCCAGATGTTTCACTTGTCCAAACCTCTAAGTTCAGTATCCGGATCCCAGCTGAGGGGTCTGGGCTATAGCAGCTCGTGCTGACTTCAGAACACCCCCAAAGCCTCTTTCCCAGAGTGTTCCTTCTTCCTTAGCTTAGCTGGCTAGTTTGAGTGACAGTTGGTCATGAGCATCTCCTGGTCCACCCTCCACACTGGACACCAGAATACGTACTGCTGCACTGCCCAGACACCCGCCCAGAGAAGATGGAGGCCAGTGAGAGGTTTGTGAGAGAAGGAGGGCTGGAATCAGGAGGTATCTGGGCACTGTCTCCTTTGAAGGTGGATCTGCTGAGTGAAGATTCAGGGACTTCTGGGCATGGTGGTGCATGCTGCCCATAATCTCAGTACTCTTGAGGCTGAGGCAGGAGGATCGATGCAAGTTCTAGGCCAGCTTGAGCTACAAAGTGAGCTCAAGTCCAGCCTGTGAGACCCTGTGTCAAAAAAGACAAAAAAAAAGGGAAGAAAGAAAATAAGTTAGTTCAGGGACATTATAGGTGCAGCTGGCGCCCTAAAGGGGTTGGGGTTGAAGGGGAGGAGTAAGATTCCAAGGACAGTGAGAACAGACAAGCTTTGGGTTCTGGAGATGATTTGGATGTGTAAAGTTCTCTTTGGTTCCTCTGCATCCATGAGATCAAATGTGGGCTCTTTTCCTGTCATTCAAGATTCCCCACCCTGGGAACCCAGCCCAGTCTTCCATACCCCACAACAGGCAGCAGCCTGACCTCCTGCAGTTTCCCTGCCACCTGGATATCTCCACATCTAGCCTTTGCTCAGCCTGGACTCTCAGCCCAAAACATCCCAGCCCCTTCCACACGTGTTCAAATATACCCGATTCAAGGTCATCACTAAAAACCATGTTGCTGGTTTCCCTCTCTCTGACATAAAAGAAGACTCTTTGCTTTTTGTTTTTGTTCTGTTTTGTTTTTGAGACAAGGTCTTGCTACGCAGTGGCCTTGAACTGGCCTTGAATTCACTATGTAGCCCAGACTGGCCTTGGACTCACAGTAATCCTCCTGCTTCAGCCTCCGAGCGCTGGGATTAAAAGTGCACATTAGCATGCCTAACTATAAAAGCTTTTCTCTTAAGAGCACATACAATGTTTTCTCTAATCCTCATTCTTTATTTTAGTTCAAGAAACAACTTTATTTCTTTTTTTTTTTTTTTCTTTTTCCTTTTTATCGGTACCGGGGATCGAATTCACGACCGCCTGCTTGCAAAGCAGGCGCTTATGCCGCTGAGCTAAATCCCCAGCCCCAAGAAACAACTTTTAAGAAAAAAATTTTAGGGGCTGGGGATTTAGCTCAGCGGCATAAGCGCCTGCTTTGCAAGCAGGCAGTCATGAGTTCAATCCGTGGTACCGGTAAAAAGGAAAAGGACAAAAAAAAAAAGAAAAAAATTTTATTGGTTTGGCAACTTAGCAAGACCTCATGTCAAAAATAAAAGGTTAAAAAAGGGCCTGGGGGCATGGCTCCGTGTGGAATGGCTGGGTTTAATCCCTAATACCTCAAAAACTTCTTTTCTCAGTTATGTAACATAACAAAAGCTTTGAGAGAGTCTTTATGGAGTATAATATTCAGAAGCCATGAAGCTATGTTTCCACTCAGAGCACAGAGTGAACAAATTCTAGTATTTTCCCCAGTTACCTAATTTTTTATATAGTGTGACCTCTGTGGCTCATTATTATATCTACAATAGAGGAATACTGATGCTGTGTTGTAGGATCATTCTGTGCTCTGTGTGACTAAATCAGATAAATACATAGTGCTCAGGCTGCAGCCTGGCACCTGGGTTAGTGATTATCATTAGAGGCAACTAACCACATCCTGTCCTGTACCATAGGTGCTGAAGGGGTGACTCTAGGCCTGACTCATCTCTGTTCCCACCTCCAACGGTGGCCTGGCAGGCCAGCTGGGGGGCTGAGCAGGAGAGGGCAGACCCTTTGTCTGGATTCCTCCTTCTGTCTGGACCTATCCATCTGTCAATTGGCCATTATGCTCCCGGCTAATGGGAAACAGAAGCAGTTAATTAACAAAATTGCTGGCATGAGGAAGAGCAGTCTTTATCAGGGTCGAGGCTCTGCCATGGTGGCAGGTCCAACCTGTGTCCTACAAGGGCTTCATGTTCCACTTCAGTAAGTCCTTTGTTCCTCTGCAGCAGCCTGTGCCTACTTTGGTGAGCTCTGTGGGGCTCAATTTGTTTCAAGATGAGGTGACACCTCCCCTATCCACTCCACAGAAGTGATAGGGAGTCACCTAGGTACCAAGCATGAATTTAAAAGCATAAAATGTTAAACAAATCTAAACAGCATCTACAAGGTATGCAAAAGAGCAGGGGATGTGGCTTGGTGTAAAACGCTTGCTGGCATACATGAGGCTGATCCTGAGTTGGATCTCCAGCACTGCAAAAAAAGTAAAAACTTAAAGCAGAAAAGGAGCAACTGGGTTAGTGTCTGCAACAGGCAAGTTCAGCCAGTAAATTCAAGGGCTGTCTTGTTTGTATGTAAGTTGTTAAAGCCAGCTGCATAGCTGAATTTACATATCTAGCTCAAAGGTGCCAGTACACTACACGAAGTGCCAGTACACAAAGGTACAAAGGGGTTGTACCTTTCTCTGTGCCTCAGTTTTCTCATCTATAAAATGGGGATAGCAATTTCTCTAAATCAGGAAGTGGCTATGAACAGAATAGTGAACTGCAGAGAACCATTTAAACATTAGAGAAGAAGTCTCACTGATATTTTTATCCAGGAGAAGCAAGAACGAACCCTAGGTTCTAGCCCTGGGAAATGCTACTCCCTGCCCCACACCAAAGCAGATGTGATGGTACCAGGAACATGGAGCCAGTGAAAAGAGGACACGTTGTAGCTCAGTGGTAAAGCAGATGCTTAGCTTGCCTAAAGCCCTGGGTTCATGTGTTCAATCCCCAGGACAAAGTGAGACAGAGACAGACAAAGAGACACAGACACAGACAGATACCAGCTTCTAATTTCCCCAGGGTAAATATTACCAAAAGGTTCTAAGGGCGAGGGATGTAACCTAGTCATAGAGCACCTGCTTAGCATGCAGGAGGTCCTCAGCTCAATCCCCAGCAAAGAAACAGAAGGAGGAGGATGAGGAGGAGGGGAGGAGGGGAAGGAGAACAAAGAAACCAAAGTTTTTGGACTCCCGTAGCTTCCTCAACTCTAGTCTGCTTCTGGCACCTTAAGTCCATCTTTCAGTGCTCCCAGCAGACAAGATTCCAAATAACCCTCCGCAGGGCCAGGAGAATGAGAGCTGGCAGAGGAGGGGGCAGCTAAGGAGGCAAAGAATCCAGCCCCCCCCCCAGCCAGAGAAAAGAAAGATGTGTCTGGGGGGTGCAGCAGCACATTAAGGAGGGGACAGAGAGGGGACAGAGGCGCAGGGAGGGAGGGGTCTGAGAGAAGGGTCTCAGCAAGTGTCTGTTCTCAGTGGCTCGCCAGGGTTCTGTGAAACACCATCCAAACAGAGCCATTTCATTTGTCAGGGACCTCTGTTATTTCCTTGTCGGGATAAGCTGAGGCGCCCTCCTCCCACCAGCTCGCCCACATGCTATCTAAGGTGCCCTTCTGTTTGGCTAAAGACTATATTTTATGTGTCAGGCATTTGTGCGGCTGAGGAGCCGAGTGGAGAGTGACGGGCCAGAGAGAATGGGGGCTGCACAGGCAGAGGGAGTTGGAAATTCAAGGACAAGGCCAGGAGGAAGGAGGTCATCAGCTTCAGGAAGCAACATGTGGGGAAGAGCGGAGAGGTTTGAATGAATGAATATGGGAGTATTTGGCTCTGTGGGGGCCAGAAGATGACATGAGTCTCTCTCCTGCCACCCCAAAGAAACCTCCCTGCTACTGTGACTGACTGCAAGGCTCGCAGGGCCATGCTGGTACTGAGAAGTGGGTGACATTCTCAAGACTGGCCTCAAGGCTACAGATCCATGTCCTATTTGTCTTTCTGTCTCCAAAATCAGTCTTCAAATTGTTGACCAGTGTGATCCCTGCTGGAGATCTGTCCCTTAAACACTTCCTTCCCTCTGGCCTGGCCTGCCTCCCTTTCCCCTGCCTCTGTTTGATGTGCTAAAGCCTCTTTCCTCCCAGGAAGAGGCCCCCTGCCTGACAACAGCTGCTGGGGTGGGTGTGGGACAACAGTCATGGGCTGGGGCTGGTGTCAGGGCTTGCTTCACAGAGAGAATCTCACTTAATCCCCTGCTCAAAGCTGGGCTATTCTTCTCCTCTGTGTAGAGATAAGGGCCTCGGGGCTTGGACACGTGGTTGTGCCTGGATTCAAACCTGTGTGAATCCAAAGCTCACACACTTAACGCTGCCATCCAAGCCCTGGCCCCTTCACTGTACACAGGGAAGGATGAGCCAGGTGGGTGGCACCCAGGAGTGAGGGAAGTCTGCTGAAATCAGGGCTGAGACTTGCCGGAGGACTCCGGTCAATGACAAAGGACAAACAGAAGTGAGGATGACAAGTGGAGGTGAAGGATCACCATCCTGGAGCCAGGCCTCAGAAGGCCACTTCTAGGCCTATTCAATCAAAAAAGAAAGAGGAGGAAGAAGAGGAAGAGGAGGAGGAGGAGGAAGAGGAGGAGGAGCAGGAGGAGGAGGCTGAAGTTGCCAGGCCCCTGTAATCCCAGGACTTTGGGAGGCAAAGGCAGGACGATCCCAAGTTCAAGACCAGCCTGTGCAACTTAACTACTTGGTGAGACCCTGTGCCCCCCTCAAAAAAAAAAATTAGAGTTGGGGTTTAACTCAGTGAGGAGGCTGTGGTTTCAGTGTACACACACACACACACACACACACACACACACACACACGCAGCCATTACCCTTATCGAATTTTCCAAAGTGCCCTGTTGTTCACTCATCTTGGAAGATCTGAGACCACACCCTGGGACAGTGAGTGACAAAGATTGGCCTTAGGCTTCAAAGCCCATGCTCTTGTGCACACCTGCAAGCCCAGCACTTGAGAGGCTGAGGAGGACAGCTAGTGAGTTTGAGGCCAGCCTGCGCTACAAAGTGAGTTCAAGGGTAGCCTGCACTGTCTCAAAAACACAAAGCCCATGCTCTTGGCTCAGCGCAGCTGCTGATAGGAGAAAAAATTAAAATCTAAAATAAAATTTTAAAAAATCAAGCAGCCCTCTGAGAAGGGTCTAAAGAGGCAAACATCTGCGCGAAGGACAGCTGGGCTCAAAAGCCAGAGCAGGGACCAGAGCGGGCAGTCCGGCTGAGCGAAGCGCGGACTTCGCAGACGGATGGGGAATGGGGAGGCGGCAGAATGCTGAGGCCCGCTCCCGGAGGGGCCTTGATTGATGAGGATAGCCGGGCAGGCATCGAGAAGAGCCACGAGGCCTCTGGAGGCTGCGGAGAAGGGGAGGGGGGAGGGGAAGGGGAGGGGGAGGGGAGGGGAGGCGATGAATATTTCAGAAGCAGAGGGGCTGGAGGGGGAGAGAGGGGGCGCACAGCGGGGCGGGGCGGGGGAGGCAGATGCAGGGAGGGAGGGCCAAGCCAGGTGGAGGGGAAGGGGGTCCGGGAGGGGCTCAGATGGTAACATGAGTTTAAGCGGCACGAGGGGCTCAGCGGGCGGGGCGCCACGAATGGGCAGGTATATGGAGGGCCCTCAGGGAGGAAGGGGGCTCATGAGGGTGGGGTCCCTGAGAGGGGAGAAATGGGACAGAATGAGGGCAGAGAGGCCGCTGAATCTTCTGCCCTTCTGCAAAACGTTGTCCGCGAAATCGAAGGCCTGTCTCGCCAGCGCCCCCTGGGGTCTCCTGAGTCTCCGGGGCTAGGGCTGCAGACCCCACGCCCTCGAGGGACACTGCGACGCCCGCCCGGTCCCGAGCGAGGAGGACCCGAGGCCAGGCCGAAGTAGGTGGTCAGCGTCCCTGTCGCCTGCAGCGTGGCGGAGACCCCGCGGCTGATCGAGGGCACCGAGCCCGGCCTGGAGTATGGGCCCTTCGACGACGACGAGGACGATGACGACGACGGTCCAGTGGACTGCGACTGCCCGGCCGCCTGCTACCGCGGGCACCGAGAGTACAGGTGAGCGTCGCCCGGCTGGGGGGACGCGAGCGCGGGGTCGCGCCCTCACGGTCCGCGCCCCTTCTCGCCCAGGACCAAGCACTGGTCCGGCAGCTCGGCGTCGCCCCCTCCTAAGAAGAAGAAGAAAAAGAAAGGCGGCCACCGGAGAAGCCGGTGAGAGGGCACAGGGCCGGAGTGGGTGGGAGAGGCCGGACAGGTCCCTGGGGTGCTCGTCCCTGGCCGGCAGGGGGCAGCACCGAAGCTGCACTGTGAGCCCCGCCCCTTTCTTGATTCTCCGCCCCTCAATTTAGTGCCATCCCCCCAGTTCCTTCCTTTCCTGTAGCCCCGCCTCCTCGCTAAGCCCCTCCTCTTTACCAAGGCCCCTCCCCTCATTGAGACCCAGAACTGACCCTGACTGACCAACCCTTGATATCATGTAATGACATGGCAAGGGTTCTGCACTCATTAGCACAAGCATGAGTGCCCCCAGACGGCTTCGAAGGCTCTCACCTATAACTCCCCATCCTTGTGTTCCCCTTCCCTATCTGGAGTGAGACCGTGGGGGTCCCAACTAATCCTGCCCACCTATCTGTCCTTCTTCCTCCCTGGCATTCACCGTCAGCAAAAAGAGGAGACTAGAGTCGGGGTGCAGGTCAGTGATAAAGGTGCAGGGGTGGGGAGGGCCCGGGGCTTGCTGGGTGGGAGACACTCTGAGGCCATCCCTCAGAGCTTGGACTTTGGACACCCCCACTTGATCAGCTTTTACCCACTGAGGCCAGAAATCCCATCATGGAGCCTCTAACTTTGGGTTTGCACTATGCTTGATTACAATGGCAAGGGACGTGGAAGGTGACTGATGGCCATCAAGTACGCTTAGGGACTTTGCTTTCCCATCTTTGGGTCTCAGGTCACTCTGGGCTCCATGCCCTGAAATCCCCTTCTCGGCTTCCATACCCCAGGCCCTCAGGTTTCTCCAGTTCCTCCCAGCTGTACCCCAATGCCCCAGCTCACTAGAGCTGCTTCCTCCTGTGTTCACAGCTGTGGGAGTGCCTCACCCCTGCGCAAGAAGAAGAAGAGTATAAAGAAGCACCGCCGAGACAGGTACCCACTGTCCCTCCCTGCTTTGTGGCCTCTTCTCACTCCCGTGGGCCCAGGACTCTCAGGTCCACTGGTGCCCCCCGGGCTACCCAGGCAAGCTCATGAGAACTCTTTTATCACCCTACAGGTCCAATTCCGGGTCCCGGAGGAAGAGACGGCACAGGTGAGCAGTGCTCTGCAGAGCAGGTGGGCAGAAGCCAGTGGTTTCTGCCAGGGACCAAAGCCCACAGGAAGCAATAACAGGAAGGGAATGTGTGAGAGTGTGGCCCAAGTCTGTCCTCCAACCCCAGGGACTGAGCCAGGCCAGAGAGTGAAGTGCATGCAGAACAATGGTTCCTACCCGTGCTTCTCCTAGAATCCCCCCCAGGTGTCCAGAAGGATGGTATCTATGGAGGTGCCATCTGGGAAGACACAAGCATCAGGGCACCAGATTTGCAGGGACAGTGCATGCCAAGCAGGAGGGGCTTGTGAGCTAGGGGCTCGCTTAGCAATGGGAGTGGATTGGAGCAGAGGTAGCGTTTCAGGGGTGGGCCGATGCATCTTGACAGGCCTGACTGCCTAAGAAACTGGCCTCCTGGCCTCCACTCAGGTGGGGATCCAACCAGGAAAGACAGTGACTTGTTCAAGGAAGATTGGGGAACAGGAGAGGAGGAGGGGAGCAGCCTGGCAGAGGTCGGATTGGCCAAAGGGATGCAGGAGGATTCGGTGAAACTCAGAATAAAGGTATAGAAGTTGTGGAGTAATTACGTCCCCATGCTTACTTCAGGGTCAGACCTCCCCCCAGCATCCCTAAGGAGGGGAAGGGTCCCCACTGCCTTCCTTGAAGTGGGAATTTGCCAAAGACCATGTGCTAGCTAGAGGAAGAGTCTAAATTGACACCTAAACCTGCCCCTCCAATTTCCCCCAATCTCTCACCATCCACAGTGCCTATGGGTCTGTGTAGGCCCACACTGCCACCCAGTGGTCACCATAAGCTTGCATTGTCTCTTCGGCCTACATCCAGGTGTCCTAGAAAGGACCTAGAAGTGATGGAGGGCTACACAAAGGTCCTGGGGAAACTGAGGCACAAAGCCAGTAACACGAGAGAGCTGTAATGGGATGGGATGACCACTTTGGGGGAAACCCCAAATAGGGACCCTTCTAAAAGAGTCACTCAGGAGCAGACGACCAGAACCAAGGAAAAGTATTTGGACCTCTGATGAACTGGCCCAGGGCTGGGTCATGGGCTGAGAAGGGGCACAAGGGCTAAAGAGGTGTGCAGGCGCCACTTCCCCCAGTAGCTCATCAGGGAGCCTGTCCCACGTCACCTTTTCTATCAGGCTAGACGAGGCTGAGGGTGCCAGATCTGCAAAAAATACATCTCCCCTGCCTTCTGGAGCCTGGCTGCAGCCTCTGAGGTGAGATGGGCAGGTCCCTGGCAGCCAAGAGGCTCGGGCCTGAGGGAAGAACAAAGCTCAAGACCACACCAGGGCACAGCTCAGCTCCAGGGCGCTAAAGCGGCGTTCACCCCTGCTCTGCTCAGGCTGTACCATTACTGTGGTCTCTGCTTCCTGCAGATCTCGAAGCCCCAAGAGCAAAAGAAAAGAGAAAAACAAAGAGAGGAAAAGGTGAGCACCTCCCCACACCCTCTAACAGCAACCCAGCCTTTTAGCACCCCAGAACCTGACCCTTACACATAGTTCATTTGTTGTGTCCACTTTGCCCAGATGAAAAAATTAAGACCCTAAGAGGAAGTTAGGAGCCCTCCAGGAGCCCCTGGCCCCAGTTCCAGCTGAGTCTTACGGACTCTTTTGCCCAGTTACCACCACATATGAGAGCATTAAGTGATGAGGTCTTCGAAATTAGAGGCTGTCTGGAGAAAAAGGTTCCTTCTGACTTTCACAGATGACCTCAGGGACCGGCTGGGTTCTGCACCTAGCACCAGCCCCAGCTCAGGGTCATTTTGTAGGACACTGGCAGGTGGGGGACAGGACCAGAAGTGACCTCCCCCAGGCCTTCATGGGACCTCAGGGGGCAGGTCAGGTAACCCCAGGGCCAAGGTGGGCAGAAGGTAGGTACAGGCTGATCTGCTCCCCCACACTAGGCCTCACACAGAGTCCCCGGGCCGCAGGTCCCACCGTCACAGCAGCGGCAGTTCCCACAGCCCCTCGCTGTCCTCCCACTGCAGTGACTCCGGATCACCCAGCAGGTAGGCTGGGCCCTGAGACGGCTCCTGCTGTGCTCCTGATCAGCCTGGTTGGTTGCTTTGTCTGTCTGTCCTTCGTTGGGGGGGTGAGATGTTGCAGATTAAGCATCCAGGCGCTGGGAACGGGTCTGATGGACAGGTCAGTTAATCCGTGGGGAGACGTTTACCAGGGGCGCGTTAGTGCCTACCTGGAGGAAGAGCTCCCCGAGGCGCCCCACATTCTGAACAGGAAGTTGAGGCAGTGAAGGAGGGGCTCCCCCTGTCGCTCGCAGAGGGGCCGTCCCACGCGGGCTCCCCCATCCTCCTGCCCCCACCCCCGGCCAGGCTGAGCCCCAAGCGTCGAGACGACGGGAGGAAGACAGGTAGCCAGCGGTCCAGCGGGAGCCGGTCGCCTTCCCCGTCGGGCGGCAGCGGATGGGGGTCTCCGCAGCAGAACGGCGGCAGCAGGCAGCAGCGGAGCGCAGCGCACGGGGGCCGCCCGGGCCCGGCGCACAGCCAGCCCGATGTACGTACGCTTCGCTTTGCGGAGGGTTCCCGCGCCGAGCAGGGGCCGGGGGGCCGGGGGGCCGGGTCGCTTCCACCTGTCCTGCGCCCGCCGCTCACGGGGAGTCCCCGGGAGGGCTCGGGTGTTTGCGGCAAGGTGAGGGGGCGGCCTGCAGGCTCCGGCCACCCTCGAGCTTGGCAAACAGGAGGCCAGAGAGGGGCTAACCCCTGGGACACTTAGTTGGGTCCACAGCCAGCCAAGGTCTCCTCCTGCCTCCGCCACCCCCGGGGATATTAACGGGAACTGGACGTGGACATCAGTGGGAGTCGAGTCAGGAACTGGAGTTGAGGGATAGGAGCTCCCTTGGGCGCCACTGGGCCCTGAGTCTCCCTCTCCTCAAGTCTTTGCTCTTTCACTGAGACCCTCCCCTCTCCCACCCTCTTACCGGCTCCTCCTCCTTTCCCACGTCCCCTCCCCATCTCAGTCCCTGCGGTGCCAAAGAGCTGTTTCCGAAATCCTTGGTCCCCAGAGAAACTGTCCTGCCCTCACTTAGACAGGTGTCTCAGACCTGGCACTCCACTTCCCACGGCCTGTCCCTCTGAGGGGACCACCCTATGTACCCATTCCCAACTAGGCCAATTTGGGGCTCCACACCCGCACCACCCCCAAAGCTGTCCCCACCCGTCCTCCAGGAGGGCGGTCACCTCCAGAGTTACAGGCAGGTGGTGACCAAGAGCTGGCAGAGGAAGGTGGCTTCTCAGCCTTTCCCAGGCTGATGGTCAGCCCAGGTGGGGATTGGGGTACCCAGGGCCCTTCCGTATGCTGATCACAGAGTAATCCAGAGTGCAGGATCGAGGCCCCACAAAGAGGGAGGGAGGCTGCAGTGCTGGCAGGGGCACTGGGTGGACTAGAGACTCGGGTGGGGAGGCTGGCAGGTTGCGCCCCAAGCTTCCAGATTGTTCCAGAAGCCTCAGCCAGGAGGGAGAGCCACCCTCCCAGCCCTTAGGTCACAGCAGTGAACTTGTACGTGCTGGTCAGTTTCATTTTGAGTTTTGGCTGTTTCCTTTCACTCCCTTTCTTTTCTCAAGTATCCTTCCTCCATGGCCTCAGAGAGGAAAGTCCAGGGCAGCTGACAAAAGGTTCTGAGTCTCGAGGTTAATTTTCACTGGAGGACAGTACCCACTCAGAAAGGGTGCCAGCTTCTAGGGTGGCTCCTGGTTCCAGGAACCATGGTGGGGCCACATGGGGAGGATCACACTGATGTCCCCGGGTCTGTGCTGGGATTAGAAGAGGACACACAGGATAGCTGAGGACAGCCGTGGCACAGACTGAGGCCACAGGCTCTGGAGCTGATGGGCAAACCCAGAAGAGAGCATGGCGACCCCCACTCACCTGGGCATGGAGCCCTAAGGTCACAGAATCCCAAACACCTCTCTGTGTCCCATCTACCTGGGGCCTCCAGAGACACATCGGTTCTCTCAAACGAGGTAGAGGTTAAGTCCCTTCCCTGACCTTGGGGAGGTTGAAGGTTTGATTATCCCCCCTCCCTGGATAATCTGCCCTATCCCAGGCACTACCCTTGCTTGAACAGGTTTCTCAAAATGACCACTTACCTGCCCAAAATGGGACCCCACTTTGAAGTGGCCCTGGGAGTTTTGCAGAAATTAGCGCTCGGTCTGCTTCTCCTTTCTCCAGGCACTGGCTCTGAATCGCATCCCTAACCCTTGGGCCCCGGAGATCTGGGATCTTGAACCTCCCAGGTCTCTAGCCTGCACTCCATCCCCTCTTCGCCTGAATGACATTCAAGCAGTTAAATTAGGCCAGAGAGGCAACTTGAGGGACCTGGGTATCACTGACTTCGCAACTGACAAAAAATAATGTCTTGGGAAAAAAATACTGGGGGTGGTATTCTCGGATGCTGCCTTTTGAAAAAGAAAAAAAAAGAGAGAGAGAAACAAACAAAAAAAAAAAGGAAAGGAAAAAAGAAAGCTCACTATTTTTAACCCCGTCTATGTTTTTGTTTGTTTTTTAGCCTCCCATTTGAAACGTGGTAATATTGTGATTCCATTTCTTGTTTAGCCGGCAAGGGAAGAGGGTGGGGATGTTTGTGTCATTTTTTTTCCTGTTATTTTGTTTTTGTTTGTATTTCCTTTCCCTTTTATTTATTTCTTTCTTTTTTTTTTCTTTCCTTTTGTAATGTACAGAAATGCAAACTATCTCTCTGAGTTTTTTTTTTTTTTCTACCTTCTGTGTTGTTCTAGAATTTTGCTTTCGTGTGTGTTCCTATGGGAAACTTTCTTCCTCTTGCAGAGATGGGTTTTGAATTTCAAGTGAACATTAATCATATCCATATCTCTCTGTACTTACTTTTTCTTCTTTGTAATCAGAATTTAAAAGGGAAGATGAGTTCAAACAGAAATGACATTCACACCAGTAACTCCTGCCAAACCAGCAGGACAGCCCTGGAACTGCTTCAACTTTTAAATTAACCAAATGAGTCCCCTGGAGTCTCTCTATAAAGAAGCTGGGCCACTTGCTCTGGGTAACTCAGGGAGCTTTCTGGATCTTGCTGTGACTCTTTTTTTTTTTTTTTTTTTTTTTTTTTTTTTTGTCTTTTTCCTTTTTATCGGTACCGGTACCGGGGATCGAACTCATGCCTGCCTGCTTGCGAGGCAGGCGCTTATGCCACTGAGCTAAATCCCCAGCCCCCTGCTGTGACTCCTTAATCAGTTTAGTGGAACATGGCTGAGCATGGTGGGGACTGGGACAAGGACAGCCTGCTGGATCCCTTCCTGCTGGCCTTAGCCCCTGGAAGAGAGATCTAGAGGTGCCTGAGAGGGCTTGACTCAGGTAGAGGTGTCAATCCAGATTCTCTAGGCGAAAGAAAAGCGCCATCCCAGCTTTGAGGCAGGCCAGTGAGGTGGTGATTCTCCGACACCCACAAAATGTTCTAAAATGGACTCCAGAGAGCTTCTCTGGGTTCTGTGGCTCACAGGAGAAACTGCATTTCAGAGAGAGCAAGTGCCTGGGTCAGAGTCACACAGCTTTTTAGAGGTGGGTCAAAAAGCAGGCCTCAGCCCTCAGGAGCCTCTGTGGAGAGACAGCAAGTGAGGAGAAAACACATTTCAGTGAGGCACAGAGAGGAAGGGAACTGCTCAGGGCCACACAGTGAAAGAACAAAATGCTGAGCAGGGGTGGCGCAGCTGCACTCACCTAGTCTCAGCTACTCCAGAGAGACTGAGGCAGGACGATCATCAAATTAAAGCCCAGCCCAGCAATTTAGTGGGGCCCTGTCTCAAAACAATAGAACAAATAAGGGCCAGGGCTGTAGTTGAGTGTGAGATCCCGGGGTCAATCTCCAGAACTAAAAGAAAAAAAAAAAAAAACTGACCTCATGGGAAAGGTCTTTCCATCCAGCATCACCCAAACCTCCTGTGGCCTCCCTGCAGCCCATCAGCACAAACATGTCCTGCCCTCGCCCTGGCAAGTAAAGTTTGCTCTCTTAGAAGAGGGGTCACTAGCCTATGCTCCGCTGCCCCTACGACCAGCAGTGTCAGGAGAGGACTGGGTGTATTTGGTGGTGGAGAAGGTTCATGAGCAGAATCCCTGGGCTGCTCAAGCCCAGATTTCACCACCTAACAGGCACCCTAGGATGACCTGGAGAAAAGGTGCTGTGCCACTCCCCTGCCAGCCACCAGGCTTCCCGCCCCTCCTCAAGAAGCAGCAGTGGCCACAGCTGCAGCAGGGTAGTCACAGCAGGAGGGGGCAGCTTGGCTTTGCCCCAGGATGTTCCCCAGTTTCCCAGAGCAAAGCTAGAAGGCAAAACAGATGAGTTCTAATCAGGCATAATAGTGCATGCTGCAATTCCAAGCACTCTGGGAGGCTGAAGCAGGAGGATGGCAAATTGGAGTCCAGCCTGGGCAATTTAGCAACTTAGCAAGACCCTGTGGAGAAGACCCAAGATGCAGAAGGCTGGAGATGGGGCTCAGCATAAAAGCCCTGGATTCAATTTCCACTACAAAAAAAACAGGAGGGAGAAAGAAAGAATTTCACTCAAATTGTGTGGAAAAAAGCCAATGGGGCTGATCTGAGGCCGCAGCCCCTCTGAGCTGGTGGTTGTCTTCCCTTTTAAATGCAGCCCCCTGCCAGCCCATCTGTCCACACCAACCGGCCTTGCTTAAACAGCTTTTCTCCTTTTCTGTCTGGGCCCACTTGTCTGTCTTGCTGCCGCTCTCTGGCTCTCCCAGCCTCCGTCTCTCCCTGTCTCCCTGACTCTCAGTCTCTCTGTCTCTCTCTCCCTCTCTATCTGTCCCCCTGACATGGGCCTCTCCCACCAGCCTCTCTTTAGCCACCTGTGGTTCTGCCTCCATCCGCAGCTTCCTGCATGCCCTCTGGAGGGTTTTTGTTGTTTTAAAAATGATAATAAGAAGGAAAGCTTGGCTTATTGGAACTTGTGGTTAAAATGTTTTTTTTTTTAAAAAATTAATAAGCGAAAAGAAATTGCTGGGCAAGAGCTCCCTCTCATCCCCGAGGTCAAAGCCATGCTTTGCCCGGCTGCCCATCCACGGCCGGCCGGGAGGGGAGTGCAGCTTCGGGCGCTGTCTCTGCCCATCCTGCCTTCCCAACGCGGAGACTTCTTTTCTTTTTACTATTGCACTCCTGTCCCTGACCACTGAGAAGGTAGGTACCCGCCTCCGCTGTGCGCTCGCTCCCATCTCAGATAAGCCCCACCACGCTGCTTGGTTTGAATGTGGTTTTCTTTCTCTCTCTCTCTCTCTCTCTGTCTCTCTGTCTCTCTCTCTTTTTCTCCCAACCTTGCTCCGGTTGGTTTTTTCCTTCCTCCTCCCCTTTCTTTATTTCGTTTTAGTGATGACTCATTCGTAACTTTGCACTTTCTCCAAAATGAGCCACCAGCTGTGTTTCCTGGTTTGTCCTTTGGTTTTCTTCACTCTCCCCTCCCACCCGCTACACACACAACTTTCTGCTTTATCTTCCACCTCGCCTTTCCTTCTTTCTTCCCC